CCGCGTCCTGTGTGCAGGAGCCATGAAAATGGGCGTAGGGAACGTAGTTTCACCTTAAAAATGGGTGTAGATGGCGCACCGAACAGTGTGAAAATAGGTGTTTACCAAAACGTATGACGTGTCGCTCTTAGGTTTCTCTCTGGTATTACGCCATTACTAGTTCAGCAGTGCAGCTAAAAAGAACGGATGAAGTGTCGTTTTCAAATTTAGTTAGGTTAGGTTAATACAGATCTTGTCAGATTAGGTTAAATTGTATATAAAGCTTAGTCGGGATTAATTTGAAAGTGTTGTATAAAAAATTATTGAAAATTTGTATAATTTTGCAAGTTCATTATCGATGAGAAATTAGCAGAAAAGAAGATAGACAAAAAACCGATATCTATCTGGCTCTAAGCAACGCATTATAAAAAAGGAAATTTTCTTTGAAAAAGAAAGGTTAGGTTGTGTCATATATCGGTATATAAAAGTTTACAGATGCTCTGTGATACGAATATGTTCTGAATTTGACGTCCAGACGTATATAGAAACATTTGTGTGACGTTTTAATCATCAGATTATAAATTTTAAGCTTACGACTTAATTTGAGAAATGAGAATCGCCGTAGAAGGTTGCGCCCATGGCGAATTGGATATTATTTATGAGACAATACAAGAAATCGAAAAAGTTGACGGGAGGAAGATAGATCTGCTCATTTGTTGCGGAGATTTTCAAGCTGCCCGAAATTTAAGTGATCTGGAATGCATGGCGATATCAAATAAATACAAGGATATGTGTACATTTTACAAGTTAGTGCCTTATCTTGACAAAGATTCACTAAGGCTCAGTTTCACAACCTCCAATTAACTTAACTGGCTGGTTATTCTATTGGACTTTACCAATCGCATTTGATATTAAGAAGAGTTAATCAGAATTAACCAATCACTATGGGGACTTAACTGGTAGTTAAAATTAAATGGATGTTGTGGAACTTGGCCTAAAGATGCAACTGTCTATTTTATCTGCTGCCTCTTAATGAAATTTTGATTTAATAAAAAATGTTACATATATTAAAGAATAATATTTTTTAGGTACTATTCTGGTGAGAAAAAAGCTCCAGTATTGACAATTTTTATCGGAGGCAATCATGAAGCATCGAATCATCTTCAAGAGCTACCTTATGGAGGATGGGTTGCACCTAATATTTATTACCTTGGATATGCTGGTGTAATACAAGTGGCTGGAGTCAGAATTGCTGGACTTTCTGGCATTTATAAGAGTCAGCATTGGATGCAAGGACATCATGAAAAACCTCCGTATACAGACAGTACTCTCCGGAGTGTATATCATGTTAGAAATCTAGAAGTATTTAGGTTAAAACAGGTATGAGTTAATATGTATATGCATATATACTTCTTTGTGTGTAGAACTATAAATTTTGGACAAAATAGTCATATCATCTTTGACGGCAAAAAATATACAGGGTGTTTTAAAAAATATTCAAGACTTATAGGATAGATAATGTTCATTATACAAAATAAAGGTGTAAACATAGGTTGGAAAAATCAATTCTTAGAGTTACAAATGTTTCTTGGTTTTAATAATGCAAATTATTTTTTGTGCTTTCACTGATCACATGCAGAAAATAAACAAACGAATATTTTACCATACTATTACTTTAACGTCCACAAAAGATATTTACATGTTCTTTTCTATCTAGTATTGTCTTGTAAATCTTGAAATATTTTTTTTATTTGAACATCCCGTATATAGCCTATAATAGATGTTAAATATACAGCATGATATATTTTCAGCTCTCTGGTAAAATCGATATCTTCCTGTCTCATGACTGGCCAGCAGGAGTAACAAAATACGGTGATGAAGACGCATTGTTGAAACGAAAACCGTTTTTCAGGTAATTCTTGTTAACAACAAAATTTCATTCGTTGATATATGATTATGTTCTTGACAAAATCATGAACATATTTTTAGCATTGATCAAACACATCTAAAAGATTGGATTAAAGATTTGGAAACAGACTTTACTAACTAATTTACGATGCACATTTTTTTAGTATTGATCAAACATATCTAAAAGACTGGATTAAAAATTTGGAAACAAACTTTACTAACTATTTTACAATGCACATTTTCCAAATGTCACAATTTCTTGAGCTTCTATAATTATAAATTTTTAAGTCAAATATCTTATTAGATATTTTGATATTTTCGTGTATTATAATTATTAGCAAAAAAGGAAATAACATAATGTTTTTCAATCATGAGCCGCGGAACTCTTTATTGATGATATCAGAAATGAGAAAATACGCTAAAAATTCTTACTAAAAATACGTTAAAATAAAAAAATTTATTTATAAAATGATATCATCGATCAAATAGATTTGTAAAATAGTTTGAACATTTTCTTTTTGTTCGAACAATCTATAAATAACCGTAAAATTAACGTGAAATATAATCTTTTTTAATTTTACTACTCTAACTTTCTCATGGTCTTGTCACGTTAGTTTTACGGCTATTCTTTGATTATTAGAATAAAAAGAAAGTGTTTGGACTATTTTACAGATCTTATTTGGTCGATCGATTGCAAGTGTCATTTTGTGAACACAATTTTATTTTACAAGTATTTTATAAGAATTTTTAACATGCATTTTCTTGTTTTTGACATAAAAAAACGTCGATGGCTGCGACGAGGGACCAGGAGTCTTAAATGAAGAGTAAAGCGCGCTTGCTTTTATTTTGTTCCATGTCTACATAAATGTTTTGCCATTGCGTCGAGGTAGAATGTCGAGTCGTTATGCACATCATGATTTCCTTTTTTAGGAGCGACATAGAAAGCAATACACTCGGTAGTCCGCCGTGTATGGATTTGTTGGAGCACCTCTATCCATCCTACTGGTTCTCTGCACATCTGCACTGTAAATTCGCGGCCGTAATCCCGAAGAAGGGAGAGGAGGCGCGTGTGACTAAGTTTCTAGCGTTGGACAAGTGTCTGCCAAAACGCAAGTTCCTCCAAATACTGGAGGTGCGCTCACAGCAGGACAGTCCCGTGCAGCTGAGCTATGACCTGGAATGGTTGACGATACTGTACCTGACGAATCATTTGCTGAGCGTTAAGAGTAACATACAATATATGCCCGGTCGCCACGGCAGCGAAAAATGGATGTATACACCCACCGTGAAGGAGAGGCAGACCGTATACGAGAAGTTCGACTCCGACTTGCGAGTGCCGCTCAATTTCGCTCGCACCGTCAAACCGTATGACCCATTGGCCAACGCTCAGATCGAGCGGCCGCGGCTGATGATAAACGATCAGACCACGCGATTCTGTCAGACGCTGGGTATTGATGATCCATCTGCCTTGCTGCAAATTATCGCGAATAATAAAGACAACAGTAGATCGGACGAGATATCGATGAACGTGGAGCCTATGGAGATCTCGTTTGACGAGGAAAACGCGCACTTGAGTTCCTTTGAGGAATATTCGTTGAGTAAATATTTGAGCGGCGGTGCCTCGCCCACGAACTCGTCCTCCAAGAGCAATGGCGATGATGAGCACGACGATTCGGCTGATGTGAACACCAGTGAAAGCGCCTTGGACGACAGCGTCAATGACTCCACAACATTTGTGGATTCCGCTTTCGCGGACGACAGTGAGTAGTCCGCATTGATTAACACGCTGAATCTTGCGAATTTTCGCTACAGATTTCGTTACACATTCCAAATAGAAGTTTCATAAAATAAATCAAAGAAATTAATGTTCTAGACAATATGTCACAATATGTTAATTATATCGTTCTATTAATTGCAGGTAACGGGCAATGTGTACAAACTGAGCCAAACTGCAAGAAATTCAAACGTCGGAATTATTCCATGTATTCTAATACGCTTTAATCATACAATAAAGTGTTACATTTGTATAGTCGAATCTCATTATTAATTTGTCATTATTGTTATTTCTATTTGTAAATGTTATTGTATTCATTTTATATAATAAAATCTCAACATTTTTTAAATATGAAAATAAAAGGAAATTTCTAGATAACATTAGATTATGTATTTTAGGCTTGATTGCAGCAATATTATTTTGATTTTAAGCGAGACTTAAATATATGTTTGTCTTTATTATTTAGAAAGAAAGATAGACACATGTTTAGGGCTATCGTACACAGATTGACATAACTGCATATGCATAGCATAAGATCGTATGGACCAATGAGCATCGAATATTAAGCATCCAACACCAATATGGCGACTTAATACTCGATGCTCATTGGTACATACGGTCTTATGCTATGCATGTGCAGTTATGTCAATTTGTGTGCGATAGCCCTTAAGGCTGCATTCGCTTTGGGCGCTTATGCGCTGAAGCGTCATTCTATCTTCTTCCCACATGTAATGAGCGATAAAAATAGAATGACGCTTACAGTGCGTAACTTCCAAAGCAAACGCAGCCTGGGGTGCAAACCCATGCAGCGGAATAGCGGAGCGCGGAACGAGAGTGGAACCAATCACGAGCGTTCCATAGTTTTTGCTCATGATTGCTTCCGCTCATGATTGGTTCCGCTCTCGTTCCGCGCTCCGCTATTTCGCTGCATGGGTTTGCACCCTAAAGGCCGGTTATGATAGCCGTAATTCGTTAACTTATGCCGGAACCATAAAAAATTGACCAATCAGTCGATTATTCTTCTATAATTCGACTATGACAATTTTTTACGGTTCTGGCATAAGTTAACGGATTACGGCCATCATAAACTGGCCTTTAGTCTCACTTAAGGGTTTACAGGGTTACGTTCCAAAATTCTACTCGGTAGGTAAAGTACATTTAATTGACCAATCATGATAAAGAAATCCTAGTTATCTTTGTTTTTATTGATCATCGAGTAGAGTTTTGGAACGTAGCCCTGAACGCACCTCAAGGAGATCTCATCTCAGAAGGCGCTATTAATGTTGGTCACATAAAGTACATGGGATTTTGGAGGTCCTGATCTCGCACATAATCTATGATATAATAACCTTTAAATACCTCTTCTATCGTAGTAAATTAAGGCGAATAACTTATATTTGTTTTGTGTTGTGGTTAACTGTTTCGCTGTATTAGCTGATACGAACTCTGCAAAAGTAAGACTCTGTATTATAGTTCTATATATCAGATCATGACATCAGAATAGGATAAAATAAAACTAAATTCAACATATTCACTGTTGACAATTTTCAAATCCACAAAATACTCGAACTACTCAAGTAGAAAAAAATTTTAAAAGATATCTTAAAGACATTTTAAAAGCCTAAAAAGCACAAATAGGACTTCTTAAATTATCTTTTAGAAATTTGTTCTATTTACTGAGTATTGCCAATTTTCAAATTCACTGGAATCTCTTGACGCTTTTCATCAATTTGTATTCATATCTGTGTGCAACCATCTTAAATGCAACATAAGGATTGTAGGCAACTTTTTTAGTGTTATCTGTTTCCAAGCTCTTGTTTACTTTTTTGTTTTAAAATAAGTCTTCCAGATCCTTCTTGAGGATTTGAAGGTATATTTGATATGGATTTGACCTTCTATAACATATTATATTAAAGATACTTTTTTTGTTGACACTCTTTTTGTACTACTAGCTGATAGGAATATTATAAACATGAGAATTCTATATTGTGATTACACTACTTTACCTTACAGATATTTTTATTTATAGATACAATGACTTCTATCAGGAAGTAATAGTACATCTTGAGAGGTTGGCCAACAATATAAGAAATGATTGTGTTAAAACAAATTTACAGTAAAGTGTCGTGTCTAGATATGACAACAGGTAATTCTTTATGAAGGAATCATAGGTACTCAACTATTGACAGCTCTGACAGCAAACAATGGACAAATTAACCATCATATCAGGGATATTATTTTTAGCTGCAGATATATTTGCCATAGCTAGTCTGGCTATGCCAGATTGGATTATCACTGATGTTGGAGGTAATTACAGATATTGTCCTACTTTCTTTTTTTTGTTTTCAAAGAGAAACAATAAAAAACTTATAGAAGAATATAGTTATGGAAAACTTCACTATAACATTATATATATTGATAAAATATAGTCAACTAGTTTAGTATGCTTTATTACAGTAGTAAAGTTAATGTTATTAATTGACAGTAGCAGTAAAAAGATCTAATCAAGTTTATAATGATCTTAGTAAATACAGTCAGATACTTTCTTCAATTGCATAAGGGATCTGAGACATTTTGTATAGTAGGATAAAATTATAAAAAACTTATATTTTATTCTAATATAATGTTAATTCTATGGTTTTTCTTATAGGTGATACAAGATTAGGTCTCATGATATCATGCATGACCTTGTACAATAGACCACAAGTCTGTTATAAGTCAGATTTACAATCAGAATGGTTAATGGCATTAGTCTGCATATTTGTAGGTTGTATTTTGATAACAACAACCATAATATTACTGGTTAGCTCACATTGGGATCGTAATGTCATTCCTTACGCACGTTGGGTAGGATTTGGTGCCAGTAAGTACTAATATATATGTATATATATATATATATATATATATATATATATATATATATATATATATATATATATATATATATATATATATATA